GAGTGAGATGGTGGTGTCTCAAAATTATAGAACAGATTGCAGTTCTTCAAACAACAGGTGGTGGAATCCAGCTTGGGACATCTCTTTGCATTAAAGAAAGCTCCCTGCAAATAGAAGCGGAACAGCCAAGAGACAGGTTGTACACCCGCTCCCGTTACCTGTTGCGCTGAATTTTCTGGGCATAAGGAGTCTTAACTCCCCTGGGTGGCCCGATCTCATCAGATCTTAGAAGCTAAGCAGGATCGGCCCTGGTTAGTATTTGGATGGGAGACCACTGAGGAATGCCAGGATCGCTATCGGTGTTTCCCCTAAGCTGAGTTAGTGTGAGCAAGCTCACCATTTTTTAGCCTTCGGCTTGCACATTTTTGTCTTAGCTCAGGAAGGAGGGCTCCAGAGCAAACTAATTTATTATTAGAGGGAGCATTGGTGGAACGTGCCATCGAGTTGCAACTGACTTACGGCAACCCTGTAGGGTTTCCAAAGCAAGAGGTGGTTTGCCATTGCCTGCCTCTACATCATGACCAATGCTCCCTCGAAGCTGTGGAGCCTTGTGAGCAAAAATCCTACTTTGTGAGCTCCTGGCATTAAAGTTGTGAGCGAGCGATTTGGCTCCTGCATCAATTGGTCGGCTCTGGAGCCCTCCTTCCCGAGCGAAGGCAAAAATGTGTGAGCCGGAGGCTAAAAAACTGTGAGCTAGCTCACACTAACTCAGCTTAGAAGGAACACTGCTTTCCACCACCACCAAGGAGTTTTGACATAGGACAGTTGCCCACAAACGTGTCCAGGGCTCTTTTTGTAGAAAAGGCCCAGCAGGAACTCATTAGCATAACAGGCCACACCCAACACCAGAAACTCATTAGCAAATTAGGCCACACCCCTGCCAGCACAGCTCATTAGCACATTAGGCCGCTCCCCCATGTTACCAGAACTGTGGTTATCCAGCCACACCCACCTTTTGCTTGTTATTCTGTTTACCTTGTTTGTTGTCAAAACCAGGGCTTTTTTTGTAGCAGGAACGCCTTTGCATGTTAGGCCACACACCCCTAACGTAGCCAATCCTAATGAGTTTCTGCTGTTGGGCGTGGCCTATTATGCTAATGAGTTCCTGCGGAGCGTGGCCAACTTGGGAGCCAGCCGGAACTCCGTTCCTGTGCGTCCCTGCCCCAAAATAGCCCTGAACGTGTCTATTCTGAAGTGCACTGGTCCATTTTGATGTCTTGTTCTCCTGCCCGTGTTAATCAGGCCTGAGACGGCCACAGTTCATAGCGACTTAAACCTCGATCACTATTCAAGTCAAAATATGGGGGTTTTGTAGTTGTTGTTGATGAACTCCTATTCCCGCTAACTGCCCCCAAAAAACATTGGTTTGCAGGAAGACGGTGACCTCTAGGTCAGAAATGGAATGTGTGTGTGGAGGGGTTGGTTAGTAAACACTCCCCGACAGGTTTCTGCCTGTTTCCATTTTTCACTAATCAATTTGTGGTAGTGTTCCTAAGGATAGAGAGGTTGAAGAGAAGCGCTGAAGCATACCCATCTTCTGTCATAGTCAGTGTTCCCTCTAAGCTGAGTTAGGGTGAGCTAGCTCACAGTTTTTTAGCCTCCAGCTCACACATTTTTGTCTTAGCTCAGGAAAGATGGCTTCAGAGCAGACTAATTTTATGCAGCAGCCAAACTACCTGCTCACAACTTTAATGCCAGTAGCTCACAAAGTAGAATTTCTGCTCACAGGGCTCCACAGCTTAGAGGGAACATTGGACTAGTGACTAGGAGCCTACCGCTTTTTGTATCAAAGATTATGCTCAGGTTTTCAGAAAGGCAACCGGGATGCCCGACTGCAGGTTCCACCCAAACTTATATGTTCTGCATTACTAATGGTGAGAGCCAGTTTGGTGTCGTGGTTAAGTGTGCGGACTCTAATCTGGGAGAATCGGGCTTGATTCCCCACTCCTCCACTTGCACCTGGCTGGATGACCTTGGGCAAGCCATAGTTCTGATAGGAGCTGTTCTCGAAAAAGAGCAGTTTCTGTCAAGAGCTCTCTCAGCCCCACCTACCTCACAGGGCGTCTGTTGTGGGGAGGGGAAGGGAAAGGAGTTTGGAAGCCACTCTGAGACTCCAAGTGAAGGGCGGGGTATAAATCCAATCTCCTCTTCTCTTCTTCTCCTTCAAGCGGATGCATGGGATGCATCCCTCTGTACTTGAGAGGGAGTACGCAAAGGGTTAAAACTCCAGACCTGTGTTTTTATCCCCCCAGAGCTGCCCTCTGTGAATTCCAGCACCACCCTCCTCCCACCTCTCCCTCCTTGAGAAGGAAACCACATAAACAACCGATGTGGGTCATTAATTCTCTATAATAGATGGGGGCCGTTTCATCTGGGATCAATTATTGACCTGGGAATGAATGCAGAATCTGTGCTCCTCAGGTTGACGAATCCTTTTTTCTTCTTCTCAAAAGTTCGTGGTCCCGGCCCGTCACTGTGGCTGACAAGGCCTGAGGGAACAGGAGATACTGGGGGGTGCCCAAACATGTTGACTCCTGCCGGTAATCGCTGGAAAGAATTTGCTCCTGCCAGGTTGCTAATCCTCATTAGATTCGCCTGATCCCGGTCCCTTAATCAAAGATGGATTTTCCGCTCATTCGTAACTGTAGCATGAGCAGAGAAGAAGGAGAGATTGGATTTATAACCCGCCCTTGACTACCTGAAGGAGTCTCAGAGTGGCTTACCATCTCCTTTCCCTCCCCCTCCCCACAACAGACACCCTGTGAGGTAGGTGGGGCTGAGAGAGCTCTCCCGAGGGCTGCTCGTGAGAGAACAGTTCTGAAAGAGCTTGTGACTGACCCAAGGCCACACCAGCAGCTGCATATGGAGGCATGGGGAATCAAACCCGGTTCTCCCAGTTTGGAGTCCACACTCCTAACCACTACACCAAACGCATAAAGATGTCACTGATACCTATCAGCAACTCCCCCCCTCCAGGGCTTCTTTTGAGAAGAGTATGCTGACCGGGTCCGTGTGACCCCCCAGTGTGGTCACCGTAGGGCTTCCAGCTGCTAGGTGGCACCTGGAGATCTCCCGCTATTACGTTTGATCTCCAGATGACCAAGATCAGTTCCTCTGGAGAACATGGCTGCTTTGGAAGGTGGACTCTGTGGCATTATATCCCGCTGAGGCCCCTCCCCCCCAAACCTCCCCCTCCCCA